CACTGTCTGACGCGTCTGCCTCCGCGACCCGAAAGGAGAAGCGGCGATGGAAGATGAAGATGAAGAAATGGTTCTTTGAATTTTTGGCTCACGACATTTTCTTGACATTTGAGCCAAAGTGAGATGAGCGTTAATACACTGTTTAAGGTATTACCTCCTGCTTTAGTGAATAAAGAAATGCGCAGACGATTTCGAATTTAAACTGCATAAACGGTCACTGAATTTTGGTTTCAGGGTTTGGTACGTGTACGGACGATGACAAGGTTCAGCTACTCGCCGTGATGTCACACTCGAGCGACCTCAGTGACTCGAGCGCCACAACTAGCGGTGGGAGCTCGACATCGCTGTGCGAAAATCACGTGTGCGCACATGAGCTGTCGGATGATTATGAACGTGCGAAGCGCTTCTCGGCCGCTGGGCATCACGTGTGCGTGCCCAGTGCCGACCCTCACGGCAATGAGGATGATCTAATCGAGATCAATATGCATCCAGGATTGTGCAAGGAAACGTTACCTGCGCAGGCACCCCCTTACGCTGATGTCAAGCACAATTTGGTTTGTTTTTTATCTGCATCGAGTTCGTAACAAAGTGATGATCGCTGTTTTAGGACGCAACCGAGAGCGCATTGCCGAGCGACTGCCAAGAGTGGGTATTCACTCTGTACGACTTCGACGGTAAAGGAAAAGTATCTCGCGACGTACGTCACTGATGGTGTTTTTCTCATGTTGTTTTTGTAGAGAGTTTGCCCATATTTTTTTGTGCTGGTAGAACAGGCAAATGAGATAGCTTCTCTTTCATACGATCGTTTTCAGTGTTTCTTTCTTCGCGAAATCGCTCTGCGGTTATTTGTCATTCGCTTCACAGATCCTTGACCTCAAAGTAAGTCAGTTTTAAACGGCGAATTCATAAATGCCTTAACTTTCACGGTAATGGAGATGCTGTCGATTTTGAGCCTTTTTATGAGGAAAGATAAGTGTATTAACATAAGAAGTTATTGTTGACTTTCGTTGCAGACTTTTAAAAACATAAGGTAAGCTAGCAGATCGTATCAAGATAATGGATTTACAGTGCATTGTGAGTTGCAGTGTTCAGTGATTAGTATGCGGTAGTTGTTTTTGTGAGCTGCTGTTTTACTGCTCCTTCCTAGTTTGGCGTATGATAGCGGCTGACAGTATATATTACCGAGTATCATGCTCGTGTTTTATGGCAGTTTTTCGTCTCGCCAGACGACAAAGTCACTTCGCGTTTAGGTGGGTGATTATGACGTAAGCTGAAACTCTGAGAGCTTCGAGGTGTGTCATGTCAGACTTTTCAAGATAGAATCACCTGTTCATTGTGATAGTTCATTTCGTCACTCTCGCAGAACGAATTGAAAGCCCGTAGCCAATCAGGTGATTCGCTTCACCTTCAAGCATTCATGAGAACGGGAAATCGAAACGCACATGTACTTGTATGATTATATTGGCTGGTAACCACTAACCTCGGAGCGACCTTCAGTTTAAAGGAAAACTATCTTATAATAAAAAGTTATTAGTTAGTTTGTTAAAGCTAATTGCATTGGAAGTTACACCGGATATAGATGCTTTCGTCTGCGTTTTCCTATTGTTTTTTACTTGGATGTTTGTCTTTCGTCTGTATTTGTCCTGTAGCCAAAAATTTGTAAACCTGAAAACCTTTGAATTCACGTTTTCACCTGCAGGCGATTTCAACGAGAGTTGGTTTTAATTCAAAACCTTTCAAAATTGGCACTGATTTCCGCCAAGGCCGCGTTCTGTCCCTTCTGTTGCGTCTGTTGTGAATAGATAGAATAGTCAGATGTAGCCAAAGCGATGAATGTATCGATGTAGGAGATGTGAAGACGAGACGGTTTCTGTTTGCAGACGACCTTGTTTTACTGGCACCTTTTGAAATTGATCTGCAGCGCTCTCTGGAACGGTCCGCAGGCGAGTGCGATGTGGCCGGCCATACGTGCAAACGTATCTGAAACGAAATGCCTAGTGATTTCTCGTTCTCTTGCCCGTTGTTCTCTTCAGGTAAACGGAGAAGCGGTGGAGCAGGTGAAGGAGTTCAAGTTCCTCGGAACTGTATTTACTAGTGATGGGAAATGGAAGAAAAAGATCCACCGGCGGATTCGAATGGCCAGCGATGTTCTGCCTTGAGCTAGCTTTTACTGTTTTGAATAATATAGAGCTGAGTCTGAAAGTTCAGCTCTCGGTGTTCAAGTCGATCTTCATCCCTATGCGCATCTATGGTCATAAATTGTGGGCAATGGCGGAAAAACTTCGATCTCATGATAAAACAACTGAAGTGAGCTTCCAGTGACAAATCGCTGTGCTGATGCGTATCGACATGGCCCTTAGTGCGGATGTCCAAGCGAGCCTTTGTGTACAGCCGCTGCTTCAGATTGAAAAGTCACAGCTACGATGGTTTGCGCAAGTTTTGCAAATGCTTTCAGAAAGGCGACACATCTACGCTGCTACCAGCCTAAACGACTGGCCGAAGACCCCGGAGACGGCCAAGAATATCCCGGGGTAAATATCTCGAAGGACTCTGCTCGAGACTCGGGCTGTCTTGTGCCGAATGACACAGGATCTGGAGCGTTAGAACCGCTGTTTGACGCACGTCTTCCTCCGCGACTCGAAGTGATTAGCTGCCATAGAAACTCATGGATAATTTCAATACTCTAAACACTGGCACTTCGGGTGGATCTTCAATCTGTTGATGAGGGCTGCCGTTCTTGTAGCGATGTAAGTTTCTACAGAAAGTAAGCCACATCATCTGCCCGATTCAGGCTGCCGATGAAAACCATTTCTTTGATGCCTAAATGTTGCTGCTGACATCTCAGAACAACTGCTGCTCGACGAGCGGCAGTGGTTGCTGTACGGCGATAGTGGTACACTTCGTTTTAGAATCTGGCGGGGGCTACGCTTTTGCTTCCGCCTCCTCGTCCTCCAGTGCGACGTTCTGTCATCATAAGCGACTGAGACCGACATTTTTGTATTGGAGATTTTCTTATTCCTTGTTTTCGATGGATGCTACTTAAGCAAAGCCAGTTAAGTTGCAGCTTCTCTGTTGCTGCGGCATGTCGTCGACAAGTAAGTGCCTTTGGACGGACTTTCGATATTCACCTTTTCGCAGCAGCAGCAATTGCACGAGAATGTGCATAGTAATTCATTCATTTTCTGGTGCCGTCAGAGGCATATGAATTCCATGTTTAAGCGCGGTTCAGTTCACTATGCGTGATCTGCTGCTCTTCGCTTGCAAATGTGTCGTTTAACAAGCAGTAAACGAAAAGATGGCCATTCAACCGAATCAAAAGGATGAAATTTTTGTTTCGGTGTATTTGGCAGAGGCTTCACACCTAAAAACTTAACTGCAGAGGAAACGCGGTAGGCGATCCTCTATGTTCGCTTTGTCCAGAAAGTACCCCAGATCGGATGGGCGGCCGAATCATTTTGCGAAAATTCTGCGCGAGGAGGTTTTTCAGGTCAGTGCTTCAAATCCGATTTATCCTGAACTCAGTTCTCCGAACGCTGTGTCCATTGTTATTGTGTCTTTAACTTTGACTACTTTAACCTTTTTGGTACCGAGTAGAACGACAGAAAAGCGTTTAGACATGGTATCAATTGATTATGTGTCCTTGTTGTTGCTTAAGCCTAATTCATTTAGGCTTTATTTGTCATTATTCATTCATTCATCTTCCATTGCCGCTTCTCCTTGCGGACGCTGAGGCAGACGCGTCAGATAGAGTTTTCAACGTTCCCGATCCTTGTCATTGTTCGCTTCAGAATATTTTTTAAGCCGGTTGAGTTTGCTCGATTTTTGCAAGGTTGGAGCAATTCAAAAAAATTTCAAGAGGCTGCTGCCCCGCCGTCTGAATTGAATATCGGGCTACGAAAATGAATGGGTGTGTTGATAGTTATGAGTGCTTGCCTACATTTTTTGCATCTGTTTGCTCGACTGACCGGGTTCCGGTAAATGCGT